CACCACCATGCCTGGTTTCGGTGGCCAGCATGGCACACCAGGGGTTCTGGGGCTGGCATGGCATATGGTACCGGGGATCAAACCCAGGTCCTTGTGTTTTCCAAGCAGGCACTTAAGACTGCTGAGCTATCTCCCTATCCTCACCCCGTTTTATTAAAGAATAAAGCTTATTATTACTACACTTGATCTTAGCCAAAAGGCTGAGAAACAATAAGCTTTTTATTATTTTCTTATTTAAAAAACTGAAAAAAAACATTGAAGAACTTTGGGGGAATTTTGTGTTTTTCTCTTGTGTAAATATTGAATTGTTTTGAACTTTATTGTGGTTGTTAATTTGAAGTAGTAAGGTAGGAGAGAATAAAGTGAAGAAAAAGAGAGAAACACTACAGACCAGAAGTGTGGTCTAGACCTAGGCTATCCTCTTTTATAACAATAGCAATGTATTATGTTTTTTCTTTTAATATTTTAAGTCCAGAGAATTGCTGCTCCTCTTGCTATGCAATGAGCTTCTAGGAAAGGTCTGGTTTCGTTTTCCTTTGTGGGGAGGGGCGATCTCCCTGCAGAAGTTACAGGATACCTGCCTGTTGCTCTCACAGGAGCCTTTAGCCACATCTCCAACCCACAATGAGAGACAGCAGCATGATTCTACCCCAACCACTCTGCATACCTACCAGCAGCTTGGTGACGATGTCCTCTCCAGAGCTGTCCTCCTGCAGAGGGCATATGGTGTGGATGAAGGGCAGGAAGGTGTCCGTGTAGTCAAACAGGTACAGGTACAGCAGGCCAAGTCTCGGGGAGCTCTTGAGGGCATATAGCAGGAACAGGGACCTGCCTGGGTTCACAGCCTGCAAGAGACAAGCAGGCAGAGGGCCACATTACACCCACAGTGGCCAGCTCCCTGTCCACTTGGTCGCATGCTTTTGCCATCAGCTCTTTTGATGATACACACAAAAAAATGAATGAATGCCAGTAAGAAACCAAGTAATCCATCTTTTGGACTATAATGTAAAAAGACCCAGTGTCTACCCACAGATCAGCTTAGAGGTGAGAGACTGGCTCATTGGCCCTGCTCTTAGAACATAACATTTTGGGAATGTAGTTCTGAAAAATATCAGTCCTTGAAATGCTCAAAGCCAGCTGTGGTGGCTCACACCTATGATCCCAGCTACTTGGGAGGCTGAGGCAGGAAGACAGGGAAGAAAGGAGGGAGAAAGGGAAGAAAGGAAAAGATCAATTTAACTTATCTGTAAGTGGATACCACTTAATGAAAATAAGTGAACTAGAGAAGGCTTCAAAGGTTTGCTATGCACTGTCACAATGAAAACCACCGAAATCTGAGGCCTAAGAAGATGGGTAGTAAGACGATCTCCTTAGTAGCAGGGCCATGACGGCAGGGCCCTGCTCAGCGCTGAGATGCCCGTGCTGGAGTATCACCTGCTCTCAACACTCAACGATAGCAGTTAAGACTGTCGAAGCTTCTCACAGAACAGACCAGGAAAAAAAATAAGAGCTGAAATTTAATCATGTAGGTTTTTTTTTTTTTTTTTTTTTTGGTGGAACTGGGGATTGAACCCAGCCCCAATCATGTCTGAATTTCAAGTGAGATTATGGGAAAATTCCTTTTGTTTTCCTCATTTTTGCAAATCTTTAAAATTTTACTACAATGAATGAACATTTATTTTTTTCTGATTATAAAAGTAATTTTAAAAATGATTTAATTTATCTGATACTTAGAATCAAGTAAACTGGCCACTTTGCAGAAGGAGATGGCAACAAGATCATCAAAGAGGCTTAATCTTATTAGTCTTCAGAGAAGGGCATATGGGGATGGTCCTGGAGGGCTGCGCTGTGGCTCAGTGACAGGGCGCTCACCTGACATGCATGACCTTGGGTCTGATCCCCAGCACAGTGAAACCAAACAAAGAAACAATGGAAATCACTGCACATCTAGTAAGATGACAATGACGACAATGGGAGAAGGAAGAGGGACGAATACAAAGAGATTTTGGGGACAGATGGATGTACTTCCCTTCTTGATTGTGGTGATAGTTTCACAGGTATGCATATGTGTCAGAACATAACACACTATACACTTTAAGTGTTAATTCTATCTCAATAAAGCTTTCAATCTATTCAGCTTATCTGATGTCATCAGTGGTTCACTATTAAATTTTTAAATGTGATGAATGCCATTCTAAAGATTCTCTATAGAAATTCACACTGAAGTATGTAGGGATGAAATAATATGCTCAGACTCACACATTCTTCCCTTTGTATTTGTATGCCATTTGAAATTTTCTGTTGTGAAAGATTTTTTTACAAAATCCACTTGTAAAATGGAAGAGTCCAGGCCTGGACCAGAAAAGAGTAACTTGCACATCTTAACATGTGAGAAAGGATGCCATGAGGGACCAGTAAGGTCATGTCAAAAGACGATGGTGATGATGACTGACTACAGGGGACTGAACCCAGGAGGACCACCTGCGTACCAGGTAAATACTCTGCCATTGAGCCATACCTCCAGCACTACAATACACTTTTTCATTGCCCTGAATGCAAAATTTTTTTTTTTTTGAGACAGGGTCTACTCTAATTTGGGTTGGCCTTGAACTCACTATGGCCTGTGACGTGGCCTGGCCTTCTTGTGATCCTCCTGCTTCGGCCTCCTGAGTGCTGGAATTGCAGGTATGTACCACTGTGAAATGTTAATGCCACAGGTATACTATGAGTCCATTTACATACTGTGGTCTTTTTGGAAGATGTCAAAAAGTTACTGTCATTACTTACAGATTTTTTTAATCCACCAGAGCCCATTTTTGCCCCTTGGGAACAATACTGCACTTGAGGGTACATGATCTCAAGGAACACAAGCCCCAGGAGTAAAGCCTGCTGTGTGCAGTCAGAGCAGAGTAAGGACAAGGGAGAGACACGCCATGGTCCATGTTTGCAGCTCTGGCACTAGAGAGTGCCAGGCCCAAACAATGCAACTCCTGCACAGTGAGATTGCTATGACAAAAGCACTAAAGAAGCAGCACTCAGACAGAGCACACCAGGACACAGGGGCTGCAGGAATCTTGGCCTACCTGTCGAATGTGCACACTCAAGAAGGGGCTGAGGCAGAGCTCATCTTGGTCTGACAGCAGGACCAGACTCAAGTGCCCATTTGCTCTGCTTAATATTAAGAATGATTACTTGTTCAAGCTGGGAATGGCGGTGCACATCTCTAATCTCAGTACACAGAGAGGCTGAGGCAAGAGGATCCACAGGTGCTATGTCCTGATGGTGCTGGCAAGGAGCCCGGGCAGGTGGCTCCAGAGTTTTGCTCTTTCTTTCTATTTTGAGACTTGTGATCTTCCTGTCTCAGCCTGCTCAGGGCTGGGATTTCGGCATGTACCCTATACATTCGCCCTATCCTGAACTATTTAGCCTTGCTTTTTATTGCTGAGCTATGCTGCCTCCACTTCAAATACAAGGCAGTGAAATGCCAGATCAAGGGATAATGTAGTTTAAATTGAAATGTTAGGACAAAGTGCCCTGCAGAGAGATTGCACCAATTTATGATGCTCAAAACACACAAGTGCCTCTTTCTTCATGTAAAAGGTCAAATGTGACAATAGCATAAGTGAGAAATAACTCTTCTGTTTGCTTAGTTTTCCCTTCTCTAACTATGAATGGACATTTCTTCTCATAAGTTTATTAGTTATCTGATTTTTCTCTATACTGTCTTTTTTTAGAGTTTAAGTCTGTATATTCTAGATATTTTATAACAGCATTTCTTTTATAGTATATATTAAATCCTACTTGCAAAGGAGACCCAATCAGCACAGTCACATTAAAGATTAGTTTACCAGAATTTAGGTGACAATGAAAGCATTACTTATGACCTACTAATTCCACTCCTCAATGTTCAGCATAAAGAAACCCTTGTACATTAGCTCAAGAGCTTTCCAAGAATGCCCTGGGCAGCCTGCTTCCCACGCAGTGACTATCAACAGGGAAATCTACACGTTGTCACACACGTGTCCAGGGGAATACAGTACAAGGGAAAAACAGTGAACTCAAGCCACAGAAATCAAAGCGACATACAGCAGGGTACACTCATAGTTCATGCCTTTCCTGTAAAGATTAAAAGCCTGGGAAACAACACTCCTGGGCTTAGGGACACCACCATAGTAAGAAGGAGAGCAGGCCCAGCAGGCCCAGCAGCCCTGAAAGAACGGAGCTGGGCCAGAGAGGAAGGTGGACCTGGGGGTATCAGTTCTTAACTTACACAGCAGGCAAGGAGATGATGCTATGTTATACTCTATTCTTTTTTCAATTAAAAAAAAGTCAAGAGTTCACCTTATATTCCCAGAGATTTTGGGGAGGCTTCACACCTAGTGCTTTGACCCGCTCCAGCTCCATAAGGATGGCTCTTCTGTGGCTGCTGTTCTCTATGGTATAGGGTGCTCTTGAAAATTCTTCCTCTGTCAGGGTTAAAAGCAGTCTGTGGTATGGGGAGAGAAGATTTCTTTTGAGATTACACACTGGGAACAAATTTTCTACACTGAGATCCACCTTATCAATGCAATTATTTTAGGCTTGAGGTAAAGTGAGACATTAAATATATGCAGCATAGTAATAGCAAATAGTTGAATGCTTAGTACTTGCCAACTACTAGCATTTCTTCATAAACCACAGCCAGTTATTTAACAATTCTATAGGAATGAGTAGCAATGTGCCCTTTTCATGAACCAGAATACAGGCTTACAGAAATAAAGTGAACTGGCCACAGCATAACAGGGTCAATTTTGTTCCTAAGCTTTTGATCTTTCAGCTGAAGACTCTGATTCTTACATACTGTTTTGGTTTGTGTATGTATAGGAAAAAATTTAGGGGCCAGGGAGGTGGCTCAGTAAGATAAGCGCTTGACTGGCAAATGCAAGGATCTGAGTTCAATCCCCGGTTCCAAAAAAAAAAAAAAAAAAAAAAAAATTAGAAGGAAACCCAGTAATATATTATGATATTAAGAGTAGTTGTTCTCCTAGTGTAAGAAACTGAAAGAGGAAATAAGAACCAAAATCTACAGTACATACTGTGAAGAGAAACTGCCTAAAAGGAAAGAATAACTGGGAAGGGGAAAAAGGAAAAAAGAAGGGGGACAAAAAAAGATACACACAAGATAGCTAAGATAGTTACAATACAAATTTTTTTTAAAGTTTATTGAAGAGAACAGTTAGTGTTTATATTGTTTGATCAATTTTGCATGCCTACATCCTATAATTTGAGCAACTGCTTTGAAGATAATATGCAATGTATTAACCATTGTTAATTTCCTATTGTTTCAAAATTGTGTAACATTTTTGTTTATTTTTCTCTTTAAAATAAAAAATAGGGTCAGTGAGATAGCTTAGCAGCCTAAGTGCCTACCTGGCAAGTACAAGGTCCTGAGTTTGATCCCCAGTACCAAAATAATAATTATAATAATTATAATAAAAGAGTGGTTGTCTTAGCTACATGTGGTAGAAAGCACTTGGGAGGGTGAGATAGAAAGACTGTAAGCTGGCGGTCACCATGTACAATGTGGCAAGACTTCATTTCTGGTCTTTTTTTTTTTTTTTTAACAGTATTGGGGATTAAACTCAGGACCCTGCGCAGGCAGGCGCTTAGGCTACTGAGCTATCTCCCTGGCCCCAAGACTTCTCATCCCAAAACAAAACAAAACTTTAAAAAGTACAAAACACAGTGGTTATTTTAGGCTAGGGGTTTAATTTAATAAAAATTATCATAGGTCCCTTATCTAGTTTCCTCATCAGAAAGTAAGATTCCTCTTCCACAGTGAGTTATCATTAAATTCCTTCCTGTAGGGCGGGTGTAGGTGACAGGGAGTGGCTCAGGGGTAGAGACCTGCCTCACAAGCACAGGGCCCTGGGTTTGTTCCTGATCACAGTATGCACTGCTGGGTGGAGGGGTGTAAATGTGACTGTGCTGCTGCGGGTGACTTAGAATAACAGTTAGCAGTACTTACTGAAGACACACACACACAATCCTTCTGACCCAGTGATTTTAGTTTTAGAACTTCATCTTCTACTCAAGAGTTACACTAAGACACACACTGTAATAACTACATGCAGCAGTTTTGGAAGAAGCTAATTCTTACAAGAATCTAATTCAAATAGAAGCATTCTGCTTTTCCATAGGAATGTCAAGCATCAAAAAGCTCAGTAGAGCAAGATCCTGTCACAAAGTGAAAAGGGTTGGGGATGTAGCTTAATGGTCCCTGGCTTTATCATAGTTTTTAAAATTAAAAAGAAAAAAAAAGCTGGATGAGGAGGGAGGCATTGACTGCAGTGGGGCAGTCAGTCCGCCTGGCAGTGAGTAGATTTCATGTCTGAAATACACGGATTAAATGGGTAACAAAAGAGACTGCTCCTACTAGTGTGGGGTGGTCTATGTAACCAGTATATACAGGGATACATCTGTCTGTCTACATCTAGCTAGCTAGCTAGCTTGCTATACCTATGTATCTACATCTATGTATCTATGCACACACAGATACACAGGTGTATTTTCCATTTAAATAAAGAAATAATGCACATTTATGTATTTTAATGTGTAAACATTAAAAATGTGGGAGCTGGGATGGAGTTATTGGTAGAGCACACTTTTCTTTCTTTTTGTTTTTGGAGACTGGGTATCACTGTGTAGTGCAGGCTGGCCGTGAAGTGACTCATGTACCCCAGGCTGGTCTCAAACAGCAATCCTCTTACCTCAGTGTCCCAAGTGCTAAGAATACAGACATGCACCACCATGCCTGTCAAGTGCACTTTACTCTAAAGAGTAGGATTACAAAGGCATTTTCACTTTCGGTATCATGTAGTCCTACATTATTTTTAAAAAGCAATAAATGGGGGCCGGGGAGATGGCTCAGTGGAATAAGCACTTCCCTGGCAAGTGAAAGGGCCTGAGTTCAATCCTGGGTTCCACCAAAAAAAAAAAAAGTTTTTAGGGGCCAGGGAGATAGCTCAGTAGAATAAGTGCTTGCCTGGTAAGTGCACAGGCCTGAGTTCAACCCCGGTTCAAAAAAAAAAAAAAAAAAATCTAAAAAGCAATAAATGGAAAGGGCTGGGAAAATGGCTCAGTGGAATAAGTGCTTCCCAGGCAAGCACAAGGGCCTGAGTTCAATCTCCGGTTCCACCAAAAAAAAAAAAAAAAAGCAATAAATGGACATTACTTTTATAGTGAGAAAGCCACAAAGACAAAAAGTAAACACAAAGGAAAGAAAGAGATAATAGGATTGAAATTAAGGTATGTTAAATATATGTACTAACTTCCTAGAACAAACCCTACCATCAAGGGGCCAGAGAGATAGCTCAGTAGAATAAGCATTTGCCCGGCAAGCACAAGGTTCTGAGTTCAATCCCTGGTACTGCAAAACAAAAATAACAACAAAAAAATCTCTCCCATCATGTAATATTAACATTAACTAGTAAAGTACAATAGCAAATGAAAAACCACTTGATGAAAGAAATTACGTGTGTGTGTGTGTATATATATATATATATATATAAATCGAATTTATATTAAACTGAAGTTTTAGGGGATGGAGAATAAACAGAGTTATCCTACAACCCAGTTATTGCACTCTAAGAAGAGTACTGAAAATTTATGTCCACACAAAATCTTTGTTTATTATTCACTTTGAGATAGGGTCTTACTATGTAGTACAGCCTGGCCTCAAACTCAATAGGAATCCTCCTGCCTCAGCGTCCTGAGCTCTGGGATTACAGGCATGTGCCGCTGTACCCATCTGACCACACAAAATCTTGGACAAAAATGATCATAGCAGCATTATTCCTAAGAGCCAAAACCTAGAGTCACCCTAAATGTCTTCAACTGAAGAACAGATAAAATGTAGTCAATCCAGGGCCGATGATACAGCTCAGCAGCACAGCACCTGCTTGGCAAGCACAAGGCCCTGAGCTCAATTCCTAGTAGCAAAAAAACCAAAAAAGGTAGTCTATCTAAGTAATGGAATGCATTTCAGTGATAACAAGGAATGAAGCACTGATATATGTTACATCATGAGTCAACCTTGAAAACACACTAACTGAAAAAGCCACATACAAGGCCACATAGTATATGATCCCATAAGTCTAGGTTTGTAAACACCAATGGCATTTGCTAGCAGGTAGAAGACAGGAAAATGAGAATTGACCTATAAGGTTGTAAGACTATTTTCTGGAGTTAGAAAATATTCTAAACTAAACTGCAGTGAGGGCTGCACATATCTGTGAATAAACTAAAAACCACTAACTGGACACTTGAAATGGGTGAATTTTGTGGCATGAACTGATACCTCAACAAAGCTGGATTTGGCACTGGTGTGGGGGTACATGATAGTAATCCTAGCACTCAGGAGGTGGAGACAGGAGGATCGTTGAAAGTTCTGAGGCCAACCTGGGCCACACAGTGAATTCAAGGCCAACCTAGGCTATATGGTAAGACCCCCATCTTAAGAAGGTGGAGGCAGCGAGATAGCTCAGTGAACTGACGTGCCTGCGTAGGCAAGCACAGGTACCACCGTGATTTGATCCCCTACACCACATGCAGTGCCAGCCCCGTCCCCAGGGCAGGCTGAGCGGGCCACAGACTCCAGGCATAGTGGCGTGGTACATGCCTGTAATTCCAGCACTGAGGAGGCTGAAAACAGGAGGATCACTATGAGTCCAAGTTGTGTAATGAGACCCTGTAACAACCAAATACATTAAAAAAAAAAAAAAAAAATTGGTTACAGAAATGCCTGGGCATGCTGGCAGCTATCTGTCCTCACCTTCCGTTTACTCTTTCCGATAAAAACCTGTCTCGGTAGTGGGAGGCCCATGGGCCCAGCTGCTCCAGCCAAAGGACGACTTCTTCTGCCGTCCATGTGGCCACAGCCTTGTGGACCAGGAGGTCTTGCTCGGATTCCCTGCTGCTCCAGTGATACACAAGCAGCACCACCTGGGGAAAGGATGCAGGGGTCAGATCACCGCTCTCGAGGACAGGTGTGAGACCATGCAGGGTGGGGCAGGGCTGGGCTATGAAGGGGGGGTGATGCTACATCCACGCTCCGAAGCAGGGCAATGCACTACACGGAGGCTAGTGTCACAACAGCCCTCTGGCTCTTCTCTCTGCTGGTCTGTGAGGGGACAGAGACCAGAACAGGACTCACCCTAGGGCAACTGGCAGTAGCTGTAGTCTTGACCCCAACAACTTAGTCGACACAACTGGCTTTTTCACAAATGTACCTTGTCTACCGGAACAGCATTTACATTTTTAGGACATGGGACTGAAAAAAGTCTTGACACTGAAAGTCAACAACACTCTTAGGATTGTGTCATTAGGGTACATGTTTCAATGCCCTGTTTCCTCACCTCCACAAGGGCAGAATGGTTCCTGTTGTACAAATCACAAAAAGGACTGAATAGGATACAGCTAACATTCACTGGACACCCAACAATTCTGCAGTCACTTGAGTAAGCAACATTCCTGAAGAAATCACACAGCTCAGCAGCTTTCAACGGACACAGTGAGTCACACACAATCACATCACCAGCTGCTTCATGGTTATCCAGAGAAGGGAGTGCAGTGGAGACTGGTGATGCGGTGGGGCACAGAGAAATGGAGGGACTTACTGCCACACCAGTTAAAGCTGTGAGCACTCCAGAAAAGAAGCCCCTTCCTCGCTGCTGATTGACTCGGCCCGGGTTGGGAGCCAAAGGAATCTGATCATTCCCATATTTTTGAAAGGCTGCAAGACTTTGGACGATATCATTATTCTGCTGAATGTCTTCAAATCTCATTCTAATGGCATCAGGAAATAACTTCTCAATAGCATCTCTGTGAAGAAGAGAGAAAAATCACAAGACAGTTGTTTGACTAAATATACTATTTAGAGGCCAAAATAAAAATAAAACTAAGAGCCAATACAGTGCTTAATAGTATAAAGGTGGTTAGGAAAATGGACAAGAATGTCTTTGATAGTCCTGTTGGTCCACTACTAGGGAAACAACTAATAGAAATACAGTATATTTTTAAAGAAGAGTACTATCAAGTTTTATCAGTGAATCTCCTGGATGGATTGCTACACTGAAGATGGATAAATTTAAGGCACACATAATGTTGGATGAGAACAGTACACCGCAGAATCACACAGATACAGACAGCAACTGCTGATGGGAGAAAATGTTTGCATTTTTTACTGGCACAGAAATGTTTAAGAGTATTCTTTTTTTTTTTTGCAGTACTGGGGATTGAACTCAGGACCCTGCGCTTGCCAGGCAAGTGCTTACTCTACTGAGCTATCTCCCTGGGTAAGAGTATTCTTTAAAATTTACAAAAGGGGTTAGGAGTATAGTTCAGGGGTACAGCATGACCTTACCATGTGTGATGCCATAAGTTCAATCGCCAGCGCCATCAAAGAGCAAAAATAAATGAATACATAAATGAAACCACAATTAAGCTGTGACTGAAATTATTGTGGGGAAAAATACAGAATGAATCTAAGATGGGGAGGATGGGTCAAAGGGTCTACAGCTTGGTCAGTAACTTGCTCCATTCTTTTTAAAAAGAATGTAAACAACAAATGTATTGGTTACATTATTAAAATCTACTTTTGTAAGAAGAGAAAGAAGGGGTCGGGGAGATGGCTCAGTGGAATAATTGCTTCCCTGGCAAGCGCAAGGGCCTGAGTTCAATCCCTGGTTCCACAAAAAAAAAAAAAAA